CAATAGCCAGCCTGCTATTAGCTATTGCAATTTGAAATATCCAATAGCAGGCTGGCTATTGCTCCCAGCATTAAAAAAAAAGTTAAATAAATAAAAATTAAAAATGCAAACAAACAAAAAAAGTTTATAAAATAAAATTAAAAATACCAAAAAAACTTTTTGGTGTGTCATTTTAAATAAACAAAATGTTTATCTTCTGAACAACAGGAGCATACAGCAAAACAAACGCGACCCTTCCCTGTGCTATCCAAAACTAACAAATATTTTTTTTGGCTGGAGTTGCACTTAAAAAATTTACCTGTTCCGACTTGCATACAAATTCAACTTAAGTACAAACCTAAAGTCCCTAACTTGTATGTAACCCGGGGACCGCCTGTATTATAGTCCCAGAGGTAGCCACCACACTCTACTTGTAAGGTAAATGCCCCGGCTGCACATCCACAAAAATATCCATACAAATCCAAAGAAGAAATGGAGGCACTAAGCGGGTCTTGCAGCAGAGGTAAGGGAAAACATCAGCGTTTTATTGTGGAGGTTTCGATGGTCTCCATCACAATGTCTAGAATAAAACACTGTTTTCACTGATCTCCACTGCAAAACATGCAAGTGTCTTTATACTTTAGATGTGTGTCATGTCCTGTTGAAATGTTGATGGGTACAGAATGGTATCACATTGTTTTAAAAATGTAATGTACATGCACATGTAATACACTGTGATCAAGTCATATAATGTCTTTGCTCCTGAGCCCACTACTTCATGTTTACAGCACACTAGTGGGCGTCCTTGTTTCTTGTATGTAAGCAAAGCACTTAACTTTTATTACAGCTGTTAGGAAAGGGATGGTATTTTATCTGTAATTTTAGATTGCTGCCTTTTTTTTAAATCTCCACTTCCCTTAAGTCATATTTCTGCTGTCTTTTCAGTTAAATGTGTTATAAGACATTTTATAACAAATTTGCCAAATCAGACAGATTAATATTTCTTTCAGGCAGTGCAAGAGACTCTACTGTGGTGAGTTTAATCAGCTGAATGCCACTGGCATTTTTACTGATGATATACTACTGTTCAAGCTCTGTTCATGTATTCTAGGGATTCCTCTGGAGTATGTTGCAGTGTTGAATCCGTTTCATAAACACATTTACAAAGTTATCAGTTTGGCCATCAGGAAGCCCTTGGGTAAAGCAACCAGGAGGCTCATGTTATTGTAACTACCACAAAGGAACTTAAAATCTCATAAAGCTTATGTCTATACCAAGAATAAATTAAAGCTTGTTATTTTTCTGGTATTCCATTTGTACTTTTTTTTTGGGGGGGGAAATGTAAGCTGAAATAAAAAGTTTACTGATGAACTGATTACAGTGCATCTAAAGCAAAAACATAGTAAAGATAGTTATATTTGTCACCAGGACAGGAATAGAGGGGAAATATTCCAATAGGCACACCCTTTCTGGGTCCAGCTGTTGAAGTGGATATCCTCTCACTTTTGGTTTTGTCTAAAGGTGGCCATACACCTTACAATTATTGTTAGATTCCTTTTGTCCAGTCATCGAAAATATGTTTGATTTCCGCTGGAATACCCCATCATGCACAGACCAATGTAGATTTAAATTATCATTCGTTAGCAATACTAACTGGCCGAATTTAGTCGATTGAGAGAACAGATTTTCATTTGCCCATGTGCAGTTTTCATGTTGCCATTTTTTTCCCGTACAAAAACGC